TCTGGCCACAGGTCTCCAGGGTATCAGGCAAAGAAAACTGAACCAAAGACCAGTGTTCCCTCTAAGCTGAGTTAGTGTGAGCTAGCTCACAGTTTTTTAGCCTCCAGCTCACACATTTTAGTCTGAGCTCAGGAAGGAGGGCTCCAGAGCAAACCAATATATGCAGTAGCCAAATTGCTCGCTCATAACTTTAATGCCAGTAGCTCACAAAGTAGAATTTTTGCTCACATGATTCCACAGCTTAAAGCATTGCCTATGACCTTTGGCAAGTAAACCACGTGCCAAGGGCCCTCCCTTCACTGAGTCACACTTCCTCCTATCTTTGCGTCATTCTATACCTTCCCTCAGCCCAGGTGAGCTGCTCAAAGTCTTACGCAATGGGATTCTTAGGAGATTGTTTTTGTTTAATCATCTCTACCAATATGACAAGCAAAATTCCTGCATAAGTCCAGTGCAGATATAGCTGCAGTGTGAATGACTCATAAAGGGGTTTAGTTAGTACTTGCAACGTAGCATCTCGGTAATTCAAATATACCCTTCAAATGATACGAATCTATACTTTCTGGGGGCCTACCTAGCAATTATCTTGCAAACACAGACATTAAAGCCGCTCTGCCGTCCAATTTCGCTATATGCTTAGAAGTTATTTCAGTTCAAAGCGCATAGATTAAATTGTGGCATCTAAGAACAGTTACAAAAGGGATTGAAAGGATTCTTCTTACCAAACCCCCCACCCCCCACTTTTATATAACTGCTATTATCTTTAATAGGAAATAGGTTGGGTCTCATAGGAATAGAGTGAAGATTCTTACATAAAATGCTAACTTGATTAAATTGCTAGACCTGATACCATTGTTCTCCACTCGCTTAACAACGGCTAAGAGATTGGCAGATGTTAAGTCTGCACTGCACAGGAGGTGCCTCCCAGCGTTTTACCACCTAATTGAATTGTTTCCTAATTTTGGGCTTAAGAAAATGAAATGCCGTTAAGGTTTTTTTTCCTTGATAAGCAGAAATTGCAGGAGGTCCCCAATTCAGACGGGGGCCTCAAAGGATAATCTCCTTCTGGAACTCCTGTTTTCCCTGTGGAAGGAAACATACTCATCGCACGTATACTGCCTGTACGATCCCTCCAACAGGGCAAAAATCACAGCTTAAGAACATAAGAACATAAGAGATGCCAATGTTGGATCAGGCCAAAGGCCCATCCAGCCCAACACTCTGTATCACACAGTAGCCAGAAATACCAGTGCCATCAGGAGGTCCACCAGTGGGCCCAGGACACTAGGAGCCCTCCCACTGTTGCCCCCCCCAAGCACGAAGAAGACAGAGTATCACTTGCCCCAGAGTCCCTATCTATACCTTGTGGCTCATAGCCACTGATGGACCTCTGCTCCATATGCTTATCTAATTCCCTTTTAAAGCCGTCCTTGCTTGTAGCCACCACCACTTCCTGTGGCAGTGAATTCCAAGTGTGAATCACTCTTTGGGTGAAGAAGTACTTCCTCTTATCCGTTCTAACCCGACCGCTCAGCAATTTCATGGAGGGCCCACGAGTTCTTGTATTGTGAGAAAGGGAGAAAAGTACCTCTTTCTCTACCTGCTCTTTCCCATGCATAATCTTATAAACCTCAATCATGTCACCCCTCAGTCATCGTTTCTCCAAGCTCGGGGAATTTGAGGCTGAGGAAAACAGAAGAGGTAACCCCTGCCATGACAGCATCGTAACTGAGGTTGCTGTTCCTTCCCTGTCCAAAATGATTTGCCCACAGATGTGCTAATTAGCCTTTAAGTCATAACAAACTCATAGCAACCTCATCAATGGGCCATTCCAGGCAAGACAAAGGCAGAGCTGAGAAGGGGCTGTGTGGCTCAGTGGCCTCCGCTTTGCATGCAGAAGGTCCTAGGTTCAGTCCCTGGCATCTTCCAGTTGAATGGATCTTAGGAAGTAGGTGATGGGACAGTCCTCTGCCTGAGACTCTGGAGTGCTGCCACCAGCCTGAGTAGACAATCCTGGCTCAGTATAAGTGTGTGTATTTGCCATTGCCTTCTTCTGCTTAGCTACCCTGGGTCTTCCCTTGTGGTCTCCCATCAAAGTCCTAACCGCGGCCAACCCTGCTTAGTTTCCAAGTTCTGATGAGCTCAGGTGAAGTTGGACTATTCAGGCGGCACAATTCCAAAGTTCAGAAATAATCCATCAGTTCTGGGGAGCAATCAGCATCCAATGGAAACCAATGGCGGGGGGGAAAAATCTCATGGATTTTAATTATTCTGAACAGCACTCGTTCTTTTTAAACCTCAGATTCAGCACTCAGCTGAGAAATGTTTCAAAGAACTGAGACCGCTTTTGCACATTCCAAGGAACCTGACAAAGAGGAGGAGTGAGTGACTCACACGTCTTCTCCCCCATGTTGTTTTGGAGCCCAGGGTGAGCCGATGCCTCTTTTTTAAAAAAAGCTTTGTCTATTTTCTTAGTTTCTAAGCTTGGCATTTCATTTCTCCGTTCACTCCTGACTGGAGAATTTAATCTTGTTAAAATAATAACAATAATAATGCAAAACAACATTGTTCATTACACGTAATACTATGCAAAACTCTGCAAAACATGATTGTTAATTACACCTTGTACTATGATATTAAGTACAGAATCCCACACGGTCTTGCTGTGCGTCTGCTTCTGCTTCTTATGGACAGTTGTGTGTGACTGTTCCTTCCAACGCACATGCCATCTCTCTAGCTCTGTTCACTTCAAAAACAGACTGCAGTTTCCAGGGCCGGCCCCAGCTTATTTTGCACCCTAGGCGAGGATCTGTTCTAGCGTCCCCCCCCCGGTGCGCCCACCAGGACACCCGGAGAAGAGGCTGACCATTGGGGCACTCACAAGCCGTCGCTCCCCCGGCCCTGCTGCTGCTCCTGCAGCTGCCAGTCCCCAGCCGTGAGGAGGAGGAGAAGCACTCCGGTGGGAAGCCAAGGGGGCAGGCAGGGAGAAGTTAGCCAGCCAAAGAGGCTGGGGTGGGGGTCACCTGGCCGCGGAAATGCAGGGCTTTTGGCGGGGGGGCTTTTGGCGAGGGGGAAGGTGCAGTTTGGCGCCCCTAAGGGCCGGCGCGCTCTAGGCAAACGCCTAGTTCGCCTAGTGAGCGAGCCGGCCCTGGGAGTTTCCCTTTGCCTGGAGGTGGTATACTACATAGGAGAGCATGGTACAGGACCCTGTATGGTCTTCTGCCATTTTGGTGCTATAAAATGCATCAGTGATATGTGTTATTCTTAATAGCACAGGCAAGCCCAATTGCATCTGATCTTGGAAGCTAAGCAGGCTTGGCCCCGGTCAGTACTTGGAGGGGAGACCGGCCGCCAAGGAAGACCAGGGTCGCTGTGTAGAGAAAGGCAATGGCAAACCACCTCTGAACGTGTCTTGCCTAGAGAACCCCGTGGGGTCACCGTAAGTCGGTTGTGACTTGCCAGCACACAGTTATTATTCAACGGTGATCAAGTTTGCCATGGTGAACCGAAAGCAGGCGTTTCAGGCTGCAAATGGAAGAGCTTGGCAGGTCAGGGCAGATTCAGGGAATTAATTCTGTTGAAAACAGAACAGAGGGTTTGATTGAAACTAAGGGCATTTTCACACACACTAAATAACGCACTTCCAATCCATTTTGCAACTGGATCCTACTCCGTGAAACGGCAAGATCCACTTGCAAACGGGTCACTGAAGTGGATTGAAGCTGCATTATTCAGCATGTGTGAAAACACCCTACGATTCCTGCTAATGGGAGGCACTTCTGTCAAGCAGAACAGAACTTTTCTGCCTCTCCCCCCCCCCCCACTGCAGCCCTCTCTGACAACGCTGCTCCTGGGGGACATGGGACCCTCAGGAATTTCAAGAGGGGAAAACTGAGGGTATGCAGCTGGAATGGGGGAAATGGCAGAAATTATACCTCCCCTCCTGTTAGCGGCAGAGCCCTCAGAATCCCACCGATTGGAGTTTAATACGAAGAAGAAAGGTGTATCCGGGGGGGGGGGATGTCTGCATATTCTTCATGGTAATGCATATTTTCTTTCCCCATCACAAGAACTCACATCTCATTGGCCCAGTGTCGAGAACTGGGGTGGTTGGGGCATCAAGCAAAGCTAGGGTTGCCAACCTCCAGGTGGTGCCTGGAAATCTCCTAGGATTACAAGGGATCTCTAGGCAACAAAGGTCAGCTGGAGAAAATGGCTGCTTTGGAAGGTGAACTCTGCGGGCATTATACCCCCACTGAAGTCCTTCCCCTTCCCAAACCCTGCCCTCCTGAGGCTCCCCCAATCTCCAGGTATTTCCCAACCTGAAGCTGGCAACCCTAACTGAAGCCTACAGACCCGCAGAAAGCCTCTCTCCTGCCACTGATGCATGGCCTCCTGGTGGGAATACCGGGTTGCAGTGAAAGAAGCCGAAAAGACAGGAGGAGCCATACTTGAGGCTCTGCTTCCTCCCTCCACGGGTCCGTCTCACTGGGGAATAAAAGACTGCGTCTCTGGGGGAGCAGCAATGGAGAGGTGGAGAAAGGAGGGGAGTTGTGAAATGGGGGCAGTGGGGGGGACTGTGATAGCAGCTGAGGATACCTTCTGCCTCAGGACCCCCCGACGTCTGCAGCAAGCACGGAAATCTCTCCTTGCTCCGTGAACACCCCTGCTGGATCAGACCAAGGTTCTGTCTAGTTCAGCATCCTGTTTCCAACAATGGCCAGTTCAGTTGCCACTGGGAAGCCCACAGGAAAGACCCACAGATGGTGCCCTGACTTTCCCCTTGCATCTGAGAAAGGGAAGCATCATGACTCTGAACCCAGAAGCCTTTGTCAGTTATCATGGCTAATAGCCGGCGACACTTATCCCTCCAACAAGTTTGTCCAAGCTAACCCTCTTAAATCCATTAAGCCAGTGACCCACATGACATCTTGTGGCAGTCAGTTCCACAAGTCGCCTACTTGTTCCACGCAGCAGTACAGCAGAAACATTGGGGGGGGGGCAGATAAAGTGGGAGTCAGGCATTCTCTCTCTCTCGCTGCCTTTATGGGAGTGTGCAAATGAGCCTGAAGAAACCTTGACGAAGGTAGGAGTCTGTATTATTTCTGAGTTGACTTTCAGAAGAAATCTAATTCATGCAAAATACTATACACATAGTGTGCACTAAAACACAAAAGTCTGTTTTACATGTTATTTTGATAGAAGTCTGGCTTTTGGAATTGTTAAACTATTTGCTAAGAAATAAAGGTCGTTTCAAAAACAGAATTAAAAACAACTTATTGTACCACACACAGACCCCACCGCCACCACCCACTGTATGACAAAAGTGTATTTATTACCTTCTCTAACTAGTCGTGTTTGGGCAATGGTTGGATAACCCTGGCAAAATATTATTCAATCGTTTGACTACCAGATTGTTCCAGGTTGTTTCTTTTTGTGGCAGATTTCTGTTTCTTTTTGAAAATGTAGATTTCATTTTTGTGTCCTACGATGTCAGTTTTGACGCATAGTTTGGAGTCAGTGCTTAGGGTTAAGCCCAGACCTACAGAGAGAAAAACAAAACTATGATTAGGAACGGCAACGGTATTTGGTTTCCCCCGCAGGGCTCTTTTTGTAGCAGGAACTCCTTTGCATATTAGGCCACCACCACCCCCAATGTAGCCAATCCTCCAAGAGCTTACAGAGCTCTTCTTACAGGGGCTACTGTAAGCTCTTGGAGGATTGGCTACATTAGGGGTATGTCGCTTAATATGCAAATGAGTACCTGCTACAAAAAGAGCCCTAAAATGTATGTTACTGGCAAAACCTGTATTAGTTCTCTTAACTTCATCAAACAAGGATGGCGTTGCTGGTTTGATGGGTTTAACTGTGCGTGGCATCAATAACAATTCCAAAAATCAATAAATGATTAGTTAAAGGATAATTAATTTATAAACAAATATGCAAACCATTTATACAAGTTCCAAATCCTGAGCAAAATTATTCATACAATACACAATTCATAATCAGAGCATATATGATTTAATGTAAGTCCTGACTATGGCTCACAAAGTCCAAAACACTCCAAAGTGCTCAGTCCCTCCTAATGAACAATATGCTTCACAGCATAAAAGGGGAAAACAAGCTTCCAGAAGAGACCCACTCCAACAGTCCCAAGAGAGGAACACTTGAACGGTTCCAAAAGAAGAACGACAGGATTGCCAGTTCCTTCAATATGCTCCGCATTTCATCAATACGGCTTTATCAAGTTGGAACCCATAACATGAAGGATATCACTGAAAAACAGTCTCACAGTATTCAATTTACAATAGAATTTCCAAGTGGGCTGTACCATCACAATACACAATATTCTCACAGTACTGTGAAGCATATTGTTCATTAGGAGGGACTGAGCACTTTGGAGTGCTTTGGATTTTGTGAGCCATTTACAGAACTTGTGCTAAATCATTTATGCCCTGATTATGAATAATTATTGTATGAATAATTTTGCTTAGAATTTGGAAATTGTATAAATGGTTTGCTTATTTGTTTATAAATGAATTATTTAATTATCATTATTTATTGATTTTTGGAACTGTTACTGGCACCATGCAGAGTTAATATCTTTGTGTTTACATATATACTGTGTGTCTCAGTATTATATTGGTTGGCATATGAGCTGGTGAGTGTAGTGACCAGAGCACATGCATTGGGATATTTCCAGAACAGAAGGATAAGTAAGACTTCCAATCTGAAACAATGCTCGAAATTCCCTGTTTCATTTCTGACCAAGTATTTCCAATCTGAAATTAACCTTGGGATTCCATGCACTGTTTTGGATTTGAAATATCTGAATGCACACCCCTATCAAAGTGCCAGACCACAACTGGGGAGACACGAGTTCAGATTCTCACTTGGACATTCCCTCTGTCTCACAGTGCAAACAGACATGACGTTGGGAGTTCTGTGAACACAGGTCCCAGGGCATTTTCTCTAAAAATCAGATGTCTGGGGCCCCAAAGTGGATTGCAATGAAGTGTAAGGTAGGAGGTTAAGCCTTCCCCCTTACGGCATTTCCCCAACCTGAACTGCCCCACAGAACTGCAAAATGTCCTCCTGTATACTCCCTCGAGTTTCTCAGAGGAAGGGTGGGGTGAAAATGTGATAGACGATATCAGAATATTCCTCCAACTGAAGGTCAGTTCACACACCTCTGGTTGGAAGCAGGGGTATGAGTGAATGCACCTTTCCCATCAAACACATGGCCCATGAGAAGGCATTACATAAATACCTTAAATAAATTAACAAAGCAATTTCATTAAACTAGTTATTGACAGAAACCTGGGAAGAAATAGCAAAAACAACTGGATCTCCGCCTGAATTAGAGGAAACGTCAACAAGAAAGAGAAGGAAAAGGAAAACATATCCCATACTCTTAGTGTGTGATCCCATGATCCCGAGCAGAATGCGGTCCCGTCACATGAAACTCTCAAAGTGCTAACGCGATTCTCATGCCCGAACAGAATAGAGACACGTGACCCTTTCAGAACATCCCACACGTTGATGGTGTAGTCATTGTAGCCTGCAAATAGTAAGCGACCTGCAAAAGAAATTTCATTCATAAAGAATAGCCATTAAGTAAAAACTTTCATTGCTACACACTGGAAAACGACAATGATACCCACACTTTCCCAATGGCACAAAAAGTTGTGGGATTTATATATCATGGCTAAACTCTTGGATAATCTTACACATTTTGACAAATGTCCTACCCACACCAATTTTACTTCTGTATGGTTCCCCATCCTAATCTCTCTTACTTTGCAGGATACCCCTCCGGTAATGAATATCCTATGGCTCTGGTAAAATAGATCACTTAGATCCAACTGGCTAGTCTGGTAATACTTGTTATATTTGTATTCCTCTTATACTCGTTTTCAACCCTCAGTTTATTGATGCAATCATTGTTGAACACAAGTTAAGTTTTAAATGGAAATACTGTCACTGGCTACCTAATTACTGTTGTATTCTCAAATGTTGTTTTGATGATTACCTTCATTTTGTACATTCTCTTTGAAAATTTAATAAAAAGATTTATACAAAAAAGAATAGCCATTAAACTACAAAAACTGTTATGGCCACAGGATCCAACAGATAAAATACATCTAAATAGTCCCCCAGTTGGGTGGGGCATAACGTTATGTTAAAATTAATTTAAGAAAAACAGCAGCATCCCATGTGCAGTTATGTCATTTCCGGGAAAACCCCAGCAATGATGGAGGCTAACTCCAGGAATCGCTGGGAACTCTATGGTTTTGCCAGAGAGCTTTCTGGTGATCCCTAGAGCTACCCTGCGTCACTTCTGGGTTTTCTATAGTGGTGCACATAATGCCGTCCAAACCCTCCACCAATTGCCAGGCCTAGCCTGGCAGCCCTAGATGCCTTCAAACTTGGCATGCCATGCACTCCAAGTCCAATAAGAGGCCAGCACAGCCTCCCCAGAAGTTATCTCTTGCCTAGATTGTGTTTATGAGCAAGAGAGAAATCTCCCCTTCCTTCTCTTGTGCTCCCTCCCATTACTATTGCTGCTCTGAAATAACAGCAGGTGCACCAGCAGTAAGCCAGCTGGACAGAAAGAGGGGGGGAAATATCCCTCCCTCCCTCCTTTTCTCTGACAGATTGAGGTGCCCAATGTATACTGGGAAATGTAGTTCCCAGGGTGCCAGTCATCCTAACGCAAGAAGAGAGGTGCTGTCGGAAGGAGGAGGCAGAACCTTCTTTTCTTCTAGCTGGCCCATCAGCACCGCTGTCAAAACCGGGTTGCAAACTAGAGGCTTCAGCAATGATATCAGAGGGAGCAACATGGAGCTCTGAGCCCACAGCAGCATGCACGATCTGACTCAGTGTAGCCAGCCCTATGCACTGGTTTACTGATGGCTTATCCATGGCTAGTTACGAGGCAAGCCCAGGTGGCAAGACGTGAGCACAACTGCACCATGCATGCAAACTGCTTGCTCCTCCTCCAATAGAAAGGAGCGTTTCTACAAGAGAACGCACACGAGAAACTATACCGAGTCTGACCACTGGTCTATCCAGGTCAATAGTTTCTACTCCATGGTTCTCTGCATCACCTGGTATCTGAGCCTTACGCCCATATGCTGGGAACTGAACCCAGGACCTTCTGCACACAAGAGATGATGTGCTGCCACTGACACTCAAGCAGCAGGCAGCCTGCTAGAAGCGGTGCACTTAACACACCTTCCTCATACAACAACCATCAACAGGCCATGCGGAAAACTGCTGCTTGTCTACATCAGGGGTCTCCGACCTTTTTGAGCCTGGGGGGTGCCTTTGGAATTCCGAAACAGTCTGACGGGCACGGCCACGAAATGGCTGCTGCAAGAGGCACAGTCAGTCACACAGCAGCTGCTGCACCTTCCATTCAATCACACAGTGAAGATCCTTGTGCTGTTGGGGCAGCTGCTGCCAAAGAAACGCTTTTAAAAATCCGCACAGCCAAGCCAGTCTCCAGTGGCTGATCAGAAGCCTTGCTGAGCGAGAGACCCACCCGCCCCACCCACTCTCTCAAAACACTTGACGGACACCAGAAAAAGCATTAATGGGGATCCCTGGTCTGCATGCTTTTAACCCAATAGGGCATAAATGTTGTGTTACTCTACTCGTTACGTTGCTAATGGCGTTCCTTTAAAATATTAATTTCCCTATTTTATAGCATTTCAAACTGATTCTCAACGCTAGATCCAATTACCGGCAGCATTCAAAAGAATCACATGGATGCGGACCTTAATAAGTGCCTATCATGGAGTCTTTGGAGGTCTCCTTCAGTCATCTGCCTCTTCATTTTACAAGGCTGCAATTATACCCAATTTCCTAATTGTTCCTAAGCCGATGAGACTGAGCAGTTAAAACAAGACCTACCCCAAAAGGAAGCGGCTGTAATGACCACGCGCTTCCCCCAGCCCACGCCTCACTGCCGTCTGATTGCAGACTGGCAGCTCTGTCCGGACGCAATAGTTTTAATGATTTATTTCACTAATTTGGTTAATCAGTACATTGGGAACAACAAAGCTAAACCGACGAGGGATTTCACGGCAGTTCTCATTTCTCTCCCTCGCCCCCAAATGCAGCAGAATTTCAGCCTCACCACTGAGAGAGAAGTCCACACTGGATGCCCCAAAGATTATGCTCTCTTTGGAATAAATAGCGACTTCTCTGTCTGCGCGGAGGTCATATAAGCGGCACTAGAAGGAAACAGGTTAAAAAAAAAGGCAACATCTCAGCTTAAGCAGAGGCCAAAACACACAAATGATTTGTTTCTAACGTGATGTTCATCGAGTAGAAGGGCTTCCCACCTTCACATTTTCTTCACTTGCGCTTCTGTCCTGCAAGTGTTTTGCTCCCTCTAGTAGTCAATTCAATATTACATTCAGAGGTCATTTCGGGGGGATCGCGGGGGATCGCAGTTCCCCCGGGTGAGGTACGGGGGGCGGGGCACATGACGAAGCCCTGCCTCCTGCTTCCGCTCGCCCCACTTCTGGCCCTCATTCAGCCAGGAGGAGGCAGGAGAAGAGGGAGGGTAAGGTGCTTCCTCCCTGCCTCTCCCCACCCCTGCCTGCCTGGGGCCAGGGAGGGCCTTCGTGGGGCTTCCTCGCACTCCCGCCAGCCTTGCAAGTCCACCGCCGGGCCCCTCATGGGGCTCGGCAGTGGAGCTGCAAGGCCGCCAGCGGCGTCCAGGACCGTTGGGGGCGGGGTGTGTGGCCTTATGACACACTTCCGGTGATGTCAGGGGGGGTGGCATATGCTAATGAGTTATGCTAATGAGTTCCCCTAGCTCTTTTTCTACGAAACGACCCCTGATTACATTGCCTAAATGTCCAGCTTGACTCCCTGCAGATTTAAATTGCAGGTTTTTTATGCCGGACATAAAGCTATTCAATATCGAATCAAACACTAGAGGGAGCAAAAGACATGCGGAACAGACCCTCCCTCCCAAGCAACAGGGACACACAAGAAAGGAAAATAAGAATTCGGAAAACCCCTAATCCAGATTGGTTCCCTTTGAGAAAAAAAAAATCAAGGTACAAAGATATAAACACATAAACAGAGGGTACAAATGAGTGATTCCCCCACAAAGATGGTGATAATAATTCCGCTATGCAAAATAATATCCTAATCTATGATCATAACCATCATACATTTCGATATTTTCCATAATGATTTCTTTCTCTTTCAACAATCCATAGATTTCATTTGTCTTGTACCGGATTAACCACTAATATTTCTCCTTCCCAAGCTTGTCTAAAATAGCTGCAGTTTTATTCACAAGAATTATATGTGAATGATTTCTTGAGCACATTCATGTGTCACCCTTCCCCCAAGGAACTTAGAGATGCGTACATGGATGGTTATTTCCATTTTATTCTCAGTGCAGTCCTAAGAGGAACGTTTGGCTGAGAGCGCAGCAACTGGCCCTTGGTCACCCAGTGAGCTTCAGGGCTGAAGAGGTATGTGAATCTACCTCTCCCTGGTCCTCATCCAACATTCCACTAAGCCACAGTGGTTATTTGTGTGTGACAATGCCACTCTAAATAGGTATGATGCCACTGACGTCAGTGGATTTGGAAGGGTGTATCCCTGTTTACGTTGGTGCTGTCAAATGCTCTAATGCAACCAAGGATTATGGTATCCAAAGGACTATCATTTTGTATTTGAGTCTCCTAATTCTCTAAGGTAATCATCCAAGAGTTTGCTTTGGCGTACCTCTATAGGTTAGGCAGGGTGGTTCACTGGGGACAGAACACGCTTGGTGGTGGTTTCCATGGTGATGGTTTCCATTGGTCCATCAAGGGCGGTATTGTCTACTCAGACTGGAAGTGACTGTACAGGGACTCAGGCAGAGGTCTTCCACAGCACCTACTACTGAATCCCTTTAATTGTAGATACCAGAGATTGAACATGGGACCTTCTGTACATTAAGCAGATAATCACTCAGCCATCTCCACCACCACCCCAAACCTAAAAACACTAGTCCCAGGAGATAATATTGGGGGAGACCTCAGCTTCTCTGCTTTCCTGTTGCCTCCAGAATAACTGGTTGGCATAGTGTGAGAGCAACAGGATGCTGGACTAAATGGGCCATTGGTCTGATCCAGCAGGACTCTTCCTATGTTCTCATCACAGTGGGGGATCATGGAAGATCCATTATCACACAATCACGTTCTTTCTCAACCACATCTGCTTTCAGACTTTTGTTTTGCACCTTTTGCATGTGATTATGCATAGGTTTAGGGGTACCACAGAAACTGAGGTTGAGATGCCTTTGAATACATTACTACAAAATGATTAATAATTATATGTGGTTTTAGGTCTATGGGTTTTATTCACTGTGGGGAGATTCTCTCTGACACTGCTTTATCTTGCATCATAACCTTGTAATGGAGAGGTAGGACATATTTATTTAAAAAATCACTCGTTCTAAAGATAATTCTGTGACTTATCAGGACTGAGCAGGCTCACTGCACTCCAGGAGGCATCAAATGTTGAGGGCAATATTATTGGGTAAAGGTTCCCTTGATCGAAAGCCAGTCGAATCCGACTCTAGGGTTGTGGTGCTCATCTCCGTTTCAAAGCCGAAGAGCCAGTGCTGTCCGAAGACATTTCTGTGGTCATGTGGCCAGCATGACTAAACACCAAGGCGCACGGAACGCTGTTACCTTCCCACCGAAGTGGTACCTATTTAGCTACTTGCAATTTCTTGCTTTCTTGCTAGGTTGGCAGGAGCTGGAACTAGAGATGGGAGCTCACTCCATCATGCGGCACCCGGGTCTTGAACTGCTGAAGTACTGACCTTCCACAGCCTGCAGTTCAGCGTCTTAACCACTTGAGCCACCGCAGCTCCAATATTATTGGGAGGGGGATGGAAAACAGAAGATGATGGGAGAAATTGGGTCGCTCGAGCCCTTAAGTGTTTACAGTTTCTTGAAGTTCTGTATGTCGGAGGGGAATGTGTCCCCCCCCCCCCGGAATTACTTACAGACTCTCCCTTTATGCTTTTGCAGTAATCTACTCTTTTTGTCATGGTTGCTTAAAGAACCAGAACATCGATATAGGAAAGTACTGGTTCAGAACATAAATGCATTCAACAGCAGAGGGTAATGTGGCCAAACCATGTGGATTATTCCTGGGAGTCGGAATTACAAGATATCTGCAATTGCAGAGGACCTGTGCAGGCACCGTATGGATATTGAGGATGCCCTAAGCGATGATGCAGACGCAAATCTGAAAGCACCCATTATACAATCAAGCGGCTGGTGTTTCAGAGTTTGGAAAACCCAAACTTTGCCTCTCTCTATTCAGCTGTGAATCTTGGTGGGTGGTCCCGGGCATGTTGCTATTTCTCAGCCTACCAACACCTCCAGGGTTGCAGTGAAATTAAAAACAAGATGCAGATAATGCTTGCTACCCATGCCCAGCCCTCAGAACAGAAATCTAAATAAATACAGAAGCACAACCGACCTCCCCCTCCCACCTTCTTCAGCGTCTTCCCAGGCGCTTACAAGAAACACAGTTTTGTTGTGGTTTAGCAACCTTTCCTGCCTGCCAAGTTGGTGGGTAGGTGTAACGTGCCTGTAATGATAGGTATTAATTCACATGATGCGGAAACTTTCTACTGCCCTAAGAAAAGCCTTCGTTTTATGTGCTTTTTTGAAAACTGCATTTCAGTGTACGGACAATGGGGCAAAAGCCTGATTTGTCTCCTGAAGTCTGCTTACTAACGTCTAATTTAAATGTTCGAGTGGCACTGAAGTCCCTCCCCATTGCCAGAAAACCCTTAGTGGAGACCTTCTGCACAGCAAGAGATTACAGAGGGGTTTCCCCCAAACTTGGCTCCTAGGGAAAACAATATTTTCCCAGTGTCTTTGTCTCAGAAAAGGCATAGCCCAAATCTGGCCCCTGATAATCTTTCATTAGCAACCCTGTTTTAGTAACAGATGATCTAAAGGCATTTTCATCCTGACCTGGATGGCCCAGGCTAGCCCGGTCTCATCAAACCTCTGAAGCCTAAGTAGGGTCGGCCCTGGTTAGCTCTTGGATGGGAGGCCACCTATGCGAATCTTTTGCCCTGACTGTCAGCTATGCTGCCATGGGGGTGGGGAGGTTCGTTCTCTTCTAATTGCCTTTGCATTCCTTCTGTGCCTCTTTGCTGCTACAACGCTTATCTCTAAGTACTGCAGGTGGTGATGTTGATGTCTGGTTTTCTTGGGAACCGTTTCGTTCCCAGCTTCAGCGCTAAACGGCCGGAGCTCTATCTCCCGCGCGTGGGAGGATGGCTAATTGGCCAGGGCAGTGGGGGGTTGCATACGAATTCCCTTTATCCTATGATGCCCCATGGGCAGCCGTCATTCTTCAGTGCCTATGTTAATGCATCTATAGCTCTTCGATAAAGTATTACCTTTCACGAAAGCGAGTCCTACGTTGTCGGCTGTGGGTTCTGACATTGACCTGGATGGCCCATGCTGGCCTGATCATACTTTGCAGCTAGACAGGGTCAATTCTGGCTAATATTTGTGATGGGAGATTACCAAGAAGTCCAGGGTTGCTATGCAGAGGCAGGCAAGGGCAAAACACCGCTGAATGTCTCTTGCCTCGGAAACCCTGCAGGGTCACAGTAAGTCAGCTGTGACTTGACGGCACTTTCCAGCACCACAGGCAGGTGTACCTTTGCTCTCAAAGATTAAAAAGGCAGCTTGGGACATGTGATTTTGAGCTGGGAGGGGAAAGATTATGCAAGCCTCTGTTTGGAGTCTGTCCAAAGCTCCTTTGGGTGCAGGGAAGAATGCTTAGCCTGCAGTGTGAAGCTCAGACACACAGCAGAGAAAGCAGCGGCACCATAGATTGATTTTTCTGTCTTTCTTTCTTTGGATGGGAGCTCACCAAGAAGACCAGGTTCGCTATGCAGAGTCAGGCAATGGCAAACCGCCTCCAAATGTCTCTTGCCTTGAAAACCCTATGGGGTCATCATAAGTCGGCTGAGACTTGACGGCACTTTCCAGCCCCACCCAAAGGCACTTCCAACAGGCAAAGATCTTCTGAAGTAATCCTGCCAAATTTAGATCTCCCGCAGGCCATCAGAACTGCAGAAGAGGCTCTCGGCGGCTCCCACATTGACTAGATAAGACCAAGGGTAATAGTAAGCAACTTCTCAATAGGGTGAAAAGCACATGAGCTCAACAAACCATCAGTCCTGTCTGCAAAACAATTTCGAAATGGGTTGCAAAGCGGTGGTCACCTGACAATTCCACTGTATGTCCTCAGTCCGGCAGTGCTCGTTTTGTGGCTCACAGAGAGCCACGCCAGCAGTTACCATCAGTCAAAAGGGTCACACATTTACTTCCATCCCCAGGAAAAGACTCCCAGATCAGGGGGACTTGCAGCTTATCTGCCATCCAGTCCCTCCAGGTGGCTCTTCCAAGGTGGGAACCACCTACCGACCATGAATCCTACCAGGCAGTGGCCTTACTCAATTTTTTGGAACATGCAGTGGGTGCCACATCAAAGAGCGGTGCTCGGAAGATCCACAAGTGGCATGTCAATGACCCACATGTGCCTCCTGAGCCACTGAGTATCTCTGCCTTAGCCAATTGCTTTCAGTGTACATTCTGTGGAAAATGCACAAGGAATTTTACATGCACCCACAGCTTGATTTTAGCCAGTTCCAGCCCCAGTTTGGGTAATAATCAGACCATTCAAAAAATAAAAAATAAAATCAGGCAACCTACTGTGGCATCGTCTGAGCCAGAGGCAAAAGCATCTCCACTTGGATAGTACCTATACATGGAATTTAAAAATACCTGTTACATCCACAGGGTTCATTCTAAAAACAGTTGTCATATCTTGCAAAGCGATCCGGATATTAAGAAGCAGGGCTATTTTGGGGCAGGGACGCACAGGAACGGAGTTCCGGCTGGCTCCCAAGTTGGCCACACCCAGCAGGAACTCATTAGCATAATAGGCCACACCATAATAGGCCACACCCAACAGCAGAAACTGATTAGGATTGGCTACATTCGGGGTATGTGGCCTAACATGCAAAGGAGTTCCTGCTCCAAAAAAAGCCCTGGGTTTTGACAACAAACAAGGTAAACAGAATAAGAAGCAAAAGGTGGGTGTGGCTGGGTGACCACACTTCTGGTAACACTGGGGTGGGGCCTAATATGCTAATGAGCTGTGTTGTCATAGGTGTGGCCTAATATGCTAATGAATTTCTGCTGGGCTTTTTCTACAAAAAAAGCCCTGTTAAGAAGTATTGCTATTTGTGGCTCAAAACAGATAAAGACACCGGGAGATTGGAGACCGGATCTTCCCAGTATCTTTTAAAGCTTAATTATGTCCGCACGGGGCCAAATCCAATCTATTGATTACCAATAAAGGTCAGAGCAGAGGGATAGTACACAGATTTCCATCAGTCTTTTAAAATTCCATTACAGCTCAGTCCACGCCGGGGTCCCTCAGGGGCTGAACCCTTTCATCCCTGCATAGTTTCACTAATCAAAACCCTTGCGCCGTTCTAGCCCTTCAAAGAAAAACAAAAGACACTGCTGTCTCCAGGGTGCGTTCCACGCCCACTCGATGTGCTACCTTAGGTGGCCTCAACAGGCTGGGCCTCGGTCGGCTCTCCATTCTCCCCACTACAGTAACTCGTACTTTGCATCTTCAAACGTCTTTATTCAGGCTTTCCACAAATCAGGGTTCCCAGGGCAGTTCACAGAGCTCCCTTTCCTGGGCGCCTCTTGTTCCTCCCCTAGCCCGCACCAACAGTCTCGCCTTCATGCACATCTCCCTCTCGTGCCCTGTGCCGCCCAACTCCCCTCTGTGGCTGCCCTTAAATCTCCCCCTGGCTTAGGACCCACAGCTGCTGAGCCTGTACCGATCTCCCCTGCCTTCCATAGGCCAAATGATTCCTCTGGCCTACAGGCACGCCTTCCCCAGACTGCAAGGCTCCAGGCCCAATAGCCAGCCTCTCCCCAATCCATGCCCTTCTGCTAAACTAAACCCATACAATATGTTGTCGAAGGCTTTCACGGCCGGCGTTCATCAGCGGTTGTAGATTTTCCGGGGTGTATGGGCGTGGTTTTGCCATTGTAGGTCTCACCTTGATACAGAGAGTACTCTGTCTTTCTGTGTTCGACCTCTGGGGATGCCAGTCACAGCTACTGGCGAAACGTCAGGTCCTACAATGCCAAGACCACGGCCATGCAGCCCGGAAAAATCTACAACAGCTAATAAACCCATGCAATTGGGTGAGAGGTCTCCAGTTGCTCTCCCCTGCTGGCTTTTAAAGAGGCCCTGTCCCCTTTCAGCCGCTCCGTGCCCCCAGACACATACTTATTGTTTCCCCTTCAAAAGGCTAATAAGAGGGCAAAATGGTGAAACTGTGTGGGGATGAAAGGGTTAAGTCCCCCCTTGCGCCGTTCCACTCTGCTCGGGGGGGCTGCCTACAGGCGAAATGTACCTTGTCCGATCCTTATTGGTAGTCAGCACCTCTTCACACTGCTGCATGACCAACAAATAATGAAGCCCCCCTCCAGGATCCCTGACACCTGTAATGGAGAGACTCTGCCTTCACTTTCCCACCCACATCCAGCCTGCCACAACTACAGGGCAAGTGAGGGCAAGTGAGGGCTTGGTTCTGTAGATTCAGCTTTGCCATTCCACCAGCTTGTCACAGACATAAGACAGGGAGGAAGTCGGCCCCCCCAACCAGTCTCTTACTCCCATACTCTCACACCATCCCGAAATGTCTTTTTGTCTGCCAGTATTTCTGTGCCTGCGATGGATGGTAGAAAGCGGCAATGGTAAACTGACCTGACGCTGTTGACATCTGATTCGTGGGTTTCAAAAGACTGGATGCACTGGCCAGTCCGCATGTCCCAGACCATTGATTTTTTATCACACCCCTGAAAACAGAAAAAGGCAAAGTCATGGCAAGACCCACATTTTAATGTAAACTTCTGATGGTGCAGCCTGACTGGCGTGGGGTCCCTTCCTGACCAAACCTGTGTTAACTTTGCATCTTCTCTGCAGACCAAAGTTCTGCAGACCAAAAGACCCTGCTGGTGGTAAATGTTTTGTCTTCCCATCCAAAAACTTGAAGCTTCTCTAGGGTTGCCAAATACACCTCGGAGCAGGGGATCTTCGCTGGTGTCCGGGAGTTCGGTCGGGCGCGTGCAGCGCACCGGCAGGACGTCACCGGCAGTGACGTCACCTGCTGGAAATCCCAGTTCTTCCTCCCCTGAATCTTCAGTGGGGAAAACTCAAATATAAATATGAGGAGGGGGGAAAAAACCCAGAACTCGAATGGTTTCTACTTCCTCGCAATATAGCCACAGTTGGAAAATGGGTTGGCTTGCCGGGGGTGGGGTGTCAGTTTCTAGAAACAGGCTATCAGACAAGCGGCACAAAACTTCCACGGCTCTTGCTACTTGAGTCATCAGCACCAGGTCCATTTCTCACACGATGGAGGGGAAAGCCCGACTTTAGGATTATCTCTGTACTTCATGGGCTGGGAAATACCTGGAGATTTTGGGGGTGGAGCCTGGGGAGGGCGGCAGCATTTGGGGAGGGGAGAGAGATGTCAGCAGGGTAGAATGCCACAAAGTCCACCCTACAAAGCAGCCATTTTCTCCAGGGGAACAGACCTTGCTTGTCTGGAGGACAACTGTAACAGCGGGAGGTCTCCAGGTGCAACCTGGAGGCTGGCAACCCTACTCACGGACCACTCCATAATCATCTTCTCCCCAAATCCACACCCCAGCATTCTAGAAAGAGAACAGGTGCAACATCCTGCAATTCTTTCCCCTGCATTCATTTTTAAATCCAGAGTGGCACGGGGAAGGTGGGCAACTGAGCGGGACACGAGCAGCGGGAAGAAGAGTCTGCTGAACTCTTGACTGGCCACTGGTTTTCATTTTCCCCCAGCTCAAAATCACCCTCCCCACGAGGCTTTTTCATCCAGAAAGGGGAGGTGGATGGAGACGCTCCAGGAAACTGTACCTTTGCTCTCAAAGATAAAACAACAGCTGGCCCAGGCTAGCCTCATCTCGGCAGATCTCAGAAGCGAAGCAGGGCCAGTTCTTGGATGGGAAACCACCAAGGAGGCTCAGGGTTGCTAACGCAGAGGCAGGGATGACAAACGACCTATGTCAGTCTTTTGCCCTTATCTGGATGCCCCAGGCTAGCCCGGTCTCATCAGATCTCGGCAGCGAAGCAGGGCCGATTCTGGTTAGTATTGGGATAGGGGACCACCAAGAATCCTAGGGTTGCTTCGCAGATGCAGGCAATGGCAAACCACCTCTGAATGTCTCTTGCCTTGAGAGCCCTATGGGAGCTGTACCTTTGCTCCCAAAGATTTTTTAAAAAGCAGCTGGGGAGGGACATGTGATTTTGAGCTGGAAGGGAAAAGGTTATGCAAGCCTCTGTCTGCAGTCTGCCTGAAGTTCCTTTGGGTGTAGGAAAGAATGCTTAGCCTGTAGTGTGAAGCTCAGATACACAGCAGAGAAAGCAGTGGCACCATAGGTTGATCTTTCTTTCTTTCTTTCTTGCACGGCAAGCGTTTTGTGAATGTTTTCATCCTCTTTCACAAAGAAGCAGCAAAACCGCAAGTAGCGAAATCGCAGCTCAATGCTTCTGGCGCTATCCCACGTCACAAAAATTCCCAGGAGATGATGAGATGAATTCACACCATTTTTCTGACTCCCCTCCCCCAAAAGAGTCCAGGACAACCTCCCCCTTAAAAATCCCATGATGCTGCGGTATTTTTACTATCTGAGATCATCACCTCTGCTGTTTATCTGAATCCACCCTTTGTAATTGCACTTGAACATAGACCTTGGCGTTGGAAAACAGGTGGGATGACCTGTACAAACCAACCCCCAGCAATTAAGTTGTTGGAGGAGATCAAAAGCCCTCCTATTGTGTTGTCCCCATGCATTTGTTGGGGTAGCCCTGCTCAGCAGCCATACCTACAAATATTCCCTTTTGCTTGGAGACACCCCCCTCATTGAAACAGAGTTAACATCTGCCCCCCACCACAAAACACGCAGGCCCCATGCAGTTTTCCTTCCATCAACACCAGCCTACTCATCCAGGGCTAGCTCCAGATCTTTGGGGGGCCCTGGGTAGAGAGTTCCCGGGGGGGGGCCCTTCCCATCCACTCACTCACACGTCTCACAGCCTAACTATGGATCCTTCCTGACCATCTGCACTGCCCGCAGCCCTTTCCCCTGATGGCACTGACCGCCCAATGTGCAACTGGATGCATGGGTGACAAGTGAGCAGGCATGGAAACGGCATGTTGGGGAGCCGGCAGTAGCAGGCCCCAGCAGAAGCCCTGGCAGCTGCCCCACCTAGGGGGAAGCTGGCGCCAGCCCTGTACTTACCCCTGAGACAAAAGTGTTTCCTGTTTCCGAGGGAGCAAGATCCAAACACAAGACGTCGGCCCCATGCCCATGGAAGCTTTGCAACAGCTGCCCACTTTCAACATCCCAGAGAGCACAAGTGCCGTCTCCGCTAGCAGTCAAGATCTGGAGAAGAGAGAAGGAAAGGAAGGTTGTTGAAAGGATGCGCATGGCTGTGCCCTGGAGGGGCCGTGGCTCAGTGGCAGAGCATCTGTTTGGCATGCGGAGGGCCCCAGGTTCAATACCCAGGTGAGAGGATCAGAAAGCAGACCTCTGCCTGAGAGACCCTGGAGAGCCGCTACCATTTTGAGTAGACAATACTAGCCTTCATGGATTATAGGCCTGTAGCCAGGATTTTGTGGATTGTGGGGCAATTTTTTCCTCTGGTGGGGCTGAAGTTCTCAGTGCAGAAAGAAAAACCAGAATTCTGAGGACTATGACTCAGCTACTGTGGAATCAAGTCTTTTTAAAAACCAATGGGTCTGATTCAGTACAAGGCAGCTTCACGTGTTGAACTTTTGGCAATATTTTCAGGGGGGCAAGCTCAGAAAAACAAAAGAGACGTCATGTATTATTTCTGTGTTTCAGAATTCCCAGTTTTCACTCGACATATAAGAAGGAATAGTTAAGAGGGTGCAGAAATTGCTTTGTTTTGGATATCAGAGTAAACAAAACAAAACAATACTTTACAGCACACATGCGAGTCAGTCAGAGGAGGGTTCGTTTTTAGTGCAAAACTCTCCCCTTTTAATCCAGAAAAACCATCCAGCCAGGACAGCAGGTATTATGAACATCTCCCTTGTCGCCCCCCCCCCCAATCTATACGCAGTAAGAAGCTCAGAAAACATATGTAGGATGGATCACTAATTGCCCCCTTGTGGCTGCATTTTAAACAGTTTTGCCAGCGAAAGAATATGCGTCATTTCTTGGCTGTCAGAATGGCTCAGAAAACCAACTGCCCCGAACATCAGGATGATGTGGGGCTTAAATGAAAAGCCAGGGGGTAGCATCACTCTTCCCCCACCCTGCTCATGCAGTCAGTGTACTGGACACATTTAAAAAGCAGTCACGTCGCGGACAAACAAGACCAGTTAAAATGGGAGACGTAGAAAAGGCGGTTTTGTCCGATTGGTTTCGCACGGAAGAAATGCCAAGTCTAGCGAGTCACTGGCCCGGCAAGCAAAGTCAAAGGAGGCAATCCTGAGCATGCCTACTCAGAGGTAAGTCCCATTTTATTCAATGAGACTTCCCTCCAGGGAAATGTTCTTAAGATTGCAGCCATGTCTCACTGTAGTGTCCTCAAACTCTCCTCGGAAGCGGCATCAGTGCATCTGACGCCCAAAATAAGCCACAAGCACGCATGGCCTCATCATGAATCTCAAAAATAAAAGTTCAGATTTGGATAATATTATACAAAAGTGGAACACATGTGCAGACTTCCTGTGCTCCCCTCCATCCTCTTCTCACCCCCCGAAAGATCATACTTGGGGTTGCGGGACCCCCTTCAGGGGACAGCCACATGTGTCATGAAACCTTCCCCTTCTTAATTGTCTGTTAGCATAGCTCCCCTGAGAGAAGAGACAGAAGGAGCCGTTTCACCGCCTTCCCTCTTCTTGTTGTATCCCCCGACTCATGTGGCTATCCTTCTGTGATGGTGCTGCAACCCCAGGATTTCTCTTTCGGATGGTCAGGAGGTGATGTTGAAGAATCTGTGCTCCATGCACAGGTGCTAGGATACCAGCCAAAGCTTCAACCAGAGGAAGTGTGTATGCTGGGAGGGGAAGGGTCAGTGGTAACCACTGTATCTCAGTGGTAGAACATCTGCTTGGCATGCAGAAGGTCCCAAGTTCAATCCCTGGCATCTCCAGTTAAAAGAATCAGGTTGTAGGTGATGTGAAATATCTTGATCTGGCTCAATGGCAGAGCATCTGCTTGGCACGCAGAAGGTCCCAGGTTCAATCCCCGGCATCTTCAGTTAAACGCAACAGGCAGGAGGTGATGTAAAAAGACAAGAGGTCTCAGAGCCACTGCCAGTTTGACTAGACAAGACTGACCTTGGTGGACCAATGGTCAAATTCAGAATATGATAGCCTTGTATGTTCATGTGCCTAGCTGCCTCAAGACCAATGTAGGGCCCTACCCTGAATTCCAGATTTTTTGTTTAATTTAGAGTAAGCTGCTAAGGACACGTGCAGGAAAAAAAGGAAGGGCTGTGGCAGAGCATCTGCTTGACATGCAGAAGGTCCCTGGTTCAATCCTGGAATCTCTGGTTACAAAGAACCAGACAGGAGGTGATGTGAAAGACCTGCTTGAGACCCTGGGGAGCCACTGCCAGTCTGTGTAGACAATACTGACCTTAATGAACCCAGGGTCTGATTAAGAACATAAACATAAGAACATAAGAGATGCCAATGTTGGATCAGGCCAAAGGCCCATCCAGTCCAACACTCTGTGTCACACAGTGGCCAGAAATACCAGTGGCATCAGGAGGTCCACCAGTGGGGCCAGGACATTAGAAGCCCTCCCACTGTTGACCCCTCCCCCCAAGCACCAAGAAGACAGAGCATCACTTGCCCCAAAGCCCCTATCTATACCTTGTGGCTAACAGCCACTGATGGACCTCTGCTCCATATGCTTATCTAATTCCCTTTTGAAGCCGTCCATGCTTGTAGCCGCCACCACTTCCTGTGGCAGTGAATTCAGTATAAGTGATTCAGTTTAAGGCCGTTTCATGTGTGTATCCACTTGCTATGTGTGTATCCACTTGCTATCCACTGTCCAGTTTTTCAGGCAATGAATACTTGGTGCTTATTGTTAAACGTATTTAAATGGTTAAATATATTTAAACATAGCGGAATGTCTTTTTTTGCTGGGTTCTCCAATCATTTGTGTCTTTCCCCAAGGGTTCAATACTACCACAAACTTTCACACGGGTATAAGCAGGATTCTCTTTCTACATATTCCTTGCATTCAGGCACCCTGTCTGCTGAAACACTGCCAGATTCTTCCCTTTTTAGACCACAATTTAGTTCACTCAAGTGCTGCAGGTAGATCTCTGACTCCCGTTTCCATAGCAATAGACGTGAATCATCATCTCAGGTTTATTACTGGAAACCACAAAATGGGAAACAACGGATTACGTGGAGCTTCTCAGGTCCCGAAATAGAATCATCCACAGCTGGCGTTCTTTTAGGAGGAACTTAAATATCCAGTGAAGTGATAGACACAAAACTTGTTCTCAGTTTTCCTACAACCCCCCCCTAAAAATATTTCCAAATTTACGCATAACAGTTTTGTTATGCAAAAAATTCCACAATTAGATACAGATTTTTGTTATAAAAAGGAGCAAAATGCATGAAATTGCTGCCTTTTTTTGTGAACAGGATGCTGGCAAGCTGAGAACTGGAGCTCAGTTTGCACCTCTGCCAATGTTTAGTCACGCATGGCCTGGTACAGTCACTTATATTCTCCCCCCATTGGACAGCAACATTGTTTAGGATTATTCTGATTTCACTGCAAGCTGTAAGATGATAAGGACAAAGGACAATGGCCACTATGTGCCTAACTAAATGGAGAGTGATTAAAATGTGGGATTCACTGCCATAGGATATAGTGGTGGCCACAGGAATAAACAGCTTCAAAAGGGGATTAGACAGATTCATGGAGGATGTGTCTTATCAGTGGCTACTACCCATTGTGACTAAAGGAAACCTCCACATTCAGAAGTATTCAACCTCTGAATCCCAGTGCCAGGAGGGAACATCAGGGGAAGGCCTTGGCCTCTATGCCCTGTTCTTGGCCCTCCAGAGGAACCGGTTGGCCACTGTGTGAGACAGGATGCTGGACTAGATGGACCCTCACTGGTCTGATCCAGCAGGGCTCTTCTGATGTTCTTATGACCATTGAGAAGAGGGAGTTCAGGGTAAACAGGATAAACAGTAAACAAGAAAAACAATGGATTGTTTCAACAGTGGAATAGTGGAAATGAAAAACAGAATGACTGCAGTTCAACCTCTGTAGGGGTTGCAGAATCATTGATCTTAAACACAGAAGTCTGCATGTATGTTTGTGTATACCCCCTGACATTCCTTCAAGCTGCTCAGGGCCCTTCCCCATTTCATCCTGACAACTCTGCCAGGTCAGTGAGGCTGACAGCGTGCGACTGGCCCAAGTAGGTTGTCCAGCAAACATCTATGGCCAGTTAGAGATCTGGACAAGATTTCGCATCTGACATTCTAACCACTATACCACACTGGAACGGAAACAAATTCCTAATGGTGTGTTAAAAAAAGAGAGAGAGAGAGACAAAAGCTAGTCTAAGGCTGCAATTACATGTGCCTTTAGATCCGACACAGGTGCGAATGCCTGGCGGATCTAAAGGGAGCAATCAGACAGCAACTTCTGGGAAGCGTCCCGTGCTGCTTTGCCACAGAAGCAGAGTTAAAAGACACCAGGGAAAGTCTGGTAGTGAACGGGTTCCGACAGGCCACAGACAGACTTTTCCGTCTGATTGCTCAAGCACACTCTCAAGCTGTCGAGATGGTCTGATCCGGACATGGCCCCCAGGACATCTTGTTGAGGCGTAACAGGCCGTGGCTGGATGGTTATGACACAGCCGACTAAATTTAAATCCATCCAAGACGGAGGTCCTGTACCTGAGCCGCGGGAGATTGGGCCAGGGGATCAGGCTCCCAACCTTGATGGGGCTCCATTGGTGCCTACGTCAAGTGTGAAGTGTCTGGGGGTGTTCCTGGATGCAACCCTTTCCATGGAGGCCCAGGTCACCGCCACTGCCAGGCCTGCCTTTTTCTATCTGAGGCAGGTCAGACTGAGGTGACGAGAGAGGAGGTCCTAAAACTGATAGACAACTTAAAAACTGATAAATCCGAGAGTTCTGAAAGAACTCAATTGTGAACTTCTGGATCTCCTGACAAAAATATGTAATCTCTCCTTAAAATCAGCCTCTATTCCTGAGGACTGGAAGGTAGCTAATGTCACTCCCATCTTTAAAAAGGGTTCCAGAGGAGATCCGGGAAATTACAGGCCAGTCAGTCTGACGTCGATACCGGGTAAATTGGTGGAAACCATTATTAAGGAAAGAATTAGTAGGCACATAGATGAACAAAACCTATTGAGGCAGACTCAACATGGGTTCTGTAAGGGAAGATCTTGTCTCACTAACCTATTAGTGTTCTTTGAGGGGGTGAACAAACATGTGGACAAGGGGGATCCAATAGATATTATTTACCTTGACTTCCAGAAAGCTTTTGATAAAGTTCCTCATCAAAGGCTCATAAGTAAGCTCAAAAATCATGGGATAAAAGGACAAGTCCTTTTATGGATCAAAAACTGGCTAATTAATAGAAAACAGAGAGTGAGTATAAATGGGCAGTTCTCCCAGTGGAGGGGGGTAAGCAGTGGGGTACCACAGGGATCAGTACTTGGTCCACTGCTTTTTAACTTGTTCATTAATGATTTGGAGTTGGGAGTAAGCAGTGAAGTGGCTAAATTTGCGGATGATACAAAGTTGTTCAGGGTGGTGAAAACCAGTGAGGATTGTGAGGCACTCCAAAGGGATCTGTCAAAGATGGGCAAGTGGGCGTCAACATGGCAAATGGGGTTCAATGTGGCCAAGTGCAAGGTGATGCACATTGGAGCCAAAAATCCTAAATATAAATACACATTGATGGGGTCTGAACTGGCAGAGACTGAGCAAGAGAGAGATCTTGGAGTTGTAGTGGATAACTCACTGAAAATGTCGAGACAGTGTGTGACTGCAATAAAGAAGGCCAATGCTATGCTGGGGATTATTAGGAAGGGTATCAACTCGAATGATAAAAGGTTTGGAACACTTTCCCTATGAGGAAAGGTTAAAGCGCTTAGGGCTCTTTAGCTTGGAGAAACGACGACTGAGGGGTGACATGATTGAGGTTTATAAGATTATGCATGGGATAGAGCAGGTAGAGAAAGAGGTACTTTTCTCCCTTTCTCACAATACAAGAATTCATGGGCACTCCATGAAATTGCTGAGCGGTCGGGTTAGAATGGAGAAAAGGAAGTACTTCTTCACCCAAAGAGTGATTAACACATGGAATTCACTGCCACAGGAAGTGGTGGCGGCTACAAGCATAGACGGCTTCAAAAGGGAATTAGATAAGCATATGGAGCAGAGGTCCATCAGTGGCTATTAGCCACAAGTATAGATAGGGGCTCTGGGGCAAGTGATGCTCTGTCTTCTTGGTGCTTGGGGGGGGGGTCAACAGTCCTGGCCCCACTGGTGGACTGGCACTGGTATTTCTGGCCACTGTGTGATACAGAGTGTTGGACTGGATGGGCCTTTGGCCTGATCCAACATTGACATCTCTAATGTTCTTATGTAGACAGCCCCGTACCTTGCTCCCCGAGACTTAGCTACAGTGACCCATGCAATGGTCACTTCCAGATTGGATTATTGTAACTCTCTCTACGTGGGGCTGCCCTTGACTCTGCTCCGGAAGTTGCAGCTAGTGCAGAATGCGGCAGCGAGGGTGTTGACGGCGACACCTCAGGCTGAGGTCTTCCATGTTAGCTACCGCTGGTCCTCTCAACTGGAGATGCAGGGGACTGAACCTGGGACCCTCTGCATGCCAAGAAGATGCTCTACCACTGAGCCACAGTCCTTCCCCTCTCAATGTACACCCTTCCTCTGGCTGGCTGGGGTACTGGCTTGTATCCTAGCACCTGTGCATGGATTGAACCTGGGACCTTCCACATGACAAGCAGAAGCCTCTACCACTGAGCCATGACCCCAATAACCAGGGATGCTGTGGCACTGAGCAATGCAGAAGATCCCTGGACTCAACCCCTGTCCACTCCAGGTGAAAGTTCTCAAATAGCAAGTGCTGAGAAAGTCCTTTTTGTTCAAAACCTGGAATGACCACTGTTAGTGCTGGGGAATTTCTTCTGGCCTCCCCTCCTGGCCTTCCAGCTCTAGGGCTGGGGGTCAATATAAATTAACACAGGGAGTCTTTGTACTCTAGACTTCCCCTTGCACTCTAGACTATACAGTCCACTTCTTCCCCTATGCTGGTCATTCCAAACACAGCTGAGAACACACACACGAACACATGCATGAAGCTGCCTTATACTGAATCAGACCATCGGTCCATCAACTACTCAACTGGCAGTGGCTCTCCAGCTGAGGTCTTTCAGATGACCCGGTCCTTTTAACAGGAGATGCTGGGGATTGAATCTGGGACCTTTCTGCATGCCAAGCAGAGGCTCTTCCACTGAGCCACAGAAGGCAGCTTCATAGAACTCATGGGAAATACTTGCCTGCATGTCCGAGTTTGTGAAGCTGCAAGCCGACAGGTAGTTTGTGTGCATGGCGACTGACTTCTTCTTTGCGGCCATGTTCTCGTTTTTTTCAAACGTCAGCGGATAGACAGAACACTTATTGTCCAGCCCACTAGAGTTAAAAAACAGTCAGGGGGGGGGGAAAGAGGACTGAAGCATGAGCTGCACTGCATGGTGGTCAACTTCAAAACCCACCATTTCGCCTTTATAAAATTTTGTGTAGGGACAGGGGAGGCAGGACCGGGGGAGAGGGACTTCAATCAGAGTTTTTTCCCAAGATTCCTGTATGATGGAACTCCTTTCTCAGGAAATTCCATCATGTCTATAGCATCAAGATCTTTAGGATGTCAATGAATTATCTGATTTGGGTGGGCAGCTGTGTTTGTCCGAAGCAGCAGAACAAAATTCGTGTCCAGCGGAACCTTTGCGAGGGTGAGCAGCAAATTAGCATACAACATAATGGAAATCATTAACAGGTGTTTAACAGTCTGTTCCTGAAGTTCTTTTGCAATAAAACAGCTACTCTGAGGTCACCCACTGAATGTCCTGGAAGGCTGAAGAGTTCTCCTACAGGTTTCTCACCCTCTACCTCTATGTATGGACTGGCAACTTCCATTTCAATGTATCTGAAGAAGTGTGCATGCACACAAAAGCTTATACCGTGAATAAAACTTTGTTGGTCTTAAAGGACTCGAATTTTGTTCCGATAGCTTATCTGGTCTGCCCAGACCTGACCTTGCTTGTTTGTCTTTCTAAATGCTACTGTTGAACTCCGGCTGTTTTTGTAATTCCTAAACTGGATTATTTTAAGAGCAAGTGTCCAGGAACACCTTAAAGACTAACAAAATTTCATGAGTCACCACTCACTTCTTCAGACAAAGACTGTAGTGGATCGATCACAAGAACTTGAAAGCGGTACAATCCGAGTTCTTGTGATCGATCCTTGGGAGTCCCCGGATGCATCCCGAACACCCTCCTTAGATTAGAAACTGGGATGATCTCCTTGGAGACCCGTATGTGGCTCTTCGTAGCCGCATACATTCAACTTGTCTTCAGTTCAGTGAGCCTAGCTCCCTGATCCTTGATGATAGCCACTGGTCAGCCTGGCAAAGAGCAATAGAGGGGAAACTCTAGGAGATTAGCCTTTCCCCCCAAGTCTTATTGGGCCTTGAGCAAAAGAAACAGCTAAACAGCGTCTCTGGGTTCAAGTTCTACAATCGGACAGAGCACAGAAACATCCGATTATTCTCCAATATACTAAATGCTTTTGACCAGCAGATTATCTCAGATCCCTCACTATCTCCAAATACTGGAGAATCTTTACCCTTCCATGCTTTAATGTTCTACCCTCCTGGAAGGCAGATTACCATCACATCCCACTCTCTCAACGGCTCTGCCCAGGCCATGCAGGGAAAGTAGAGTCTATCGAACACGTTCTGCTACACTGTCCATTTTACAACAATATCCGATCTCAATATATAGCTCCAGTTCTGTCAACTTTAACAGGAAGATCTGGACAACTACATGTCTCCCTCCTTCTTGCAGACTTTCCCCAAGAGACAACTAATAAAGTTGTGAAATTTTGCTTTCAGGTGTGTGGGATAAGCAAACGCCTGACTGAAGCCGAGAAATAGCCTCGCAGTTGGAGGAAAGTACCTCTTTCCCACTCCACAATTTGTGCTCAATGTTAAGTCCCCATTGCACTGCATGTGGCCCTTTCTTTTTTATCCCTTTATTGTATTTCTATTTATTATTATTATTATTATTATTATTATTATTATTATTATTGCTGATTCTTCAGAGCTAATTTTGTATCGAAATAAACAATTGACTCACGAATGTTCCTACCCTGCCACAATTTTTTTCAGTCTTTTAAATTGCTCCTGGATTCTTGCTCTTTTCTACTGCTACAGACTAACAAGGCTACCCATCTTGATCTATCTCCATGGAAGGCATCCTATTTAGCCGTACAGAATGGAAATCCATCAACCTTGTGAAGAAACTTGCACAGGTACAAATAGACAACATCTCTCTCACCAAATGCAGAAACTTAACATTATACCAAAGGGATTGAGAACAAATAAATCCACTACAATCCCTATCTGAAGCAGTGACTCATGAAAGCGCCTACCCTGCCACAAATTTTGTTAGTCTTTAAGGTGCCCCTGGACTCTTGCTCTTTTCTACTGCTACAGACAGACTAACAAGGCTACCCATCTTGGATTCTTTTTAATGATGTTTCATGAATTTTTTAAAAAATTACTAGCCCAGTGTGTTTTTTGTAAGCTGCTTGAAGGTCCTATTTGGCAGGGAAGCAGCCTCTAAACCTGTATATAAGATAAAGGTAAAGGCAAAGGTTTCCCTTGCTCGAAAGCCAGTCAAATCTGACTCTAGGGTTGTGGTGCTCATCTCTGTTTCCAAGCCGAAGGGCCAGCGCTGTCCGAAGACGTTTCCGTGGTCATGTGGCCGGCATGACTAAACGCCAAGGCGCACAGAACGCTGTTACCTTCCCACCGAAGTGGTACCTATTTATCTACTTGCAATTTCTTGCTTTCTAATTGCTAGGTTGGCAGGAGTATATAAGATACACAAGTACAAATTAAAATCACTTTGTGGAGCTATGGTTACTGCCCCTGTCATAATGGTCATGAAGGTCCTCTTCTTAATTCAGAGGCTTTCGCTTACCCGCAAGCGATGGCACATCCCGACGGGGCGTAGGCACAGGCCATTACCCAGGTACAAGGCATCGTCACGGCGTGTTCCTGAAAGACAAGATATTCCTTGCATCTTACTTGCTGATTTTCAGTCCACGCTGTACTACTAAATGGTACTACAGTACTGCATCCTATTGTAAGGAGTGAGGTATGTGTGGTTTTGTTATATAAAGAGGAAGAGACAGAGAAAATTTCTGGCTGAAGAGTGGGATTACAGTGGCCAACCTCCAGGTGGGGCCTGGAGATCTCGCAGAATTACAACCTATCTCCAGATGACAGAAATCATTTCCCCTGGAGAAAATGCCGGTTTAGAGTGTGGATACTATGGCAATATACCCTGTCGAGGTCCCTTTCCTCCTCAAACTCCACCATCTCCAGGCTCCACCCCCAAAATCTCCAGGTATTTCCCAATCCAGAGTTGGGAACCCAAGGACTAGGGAGCCTAGAGTTCTCCCGGAATTACAACTGGTCTCCAGACTACACAGATCAGCTTCCCTGGAGGAAATGGCAGCTTTGGAGGGTGGACTCTTATGGTATCTCATCCCGGCTGGACTCTCTCCCCAGGTTCTGCCCCTAAATCTTCAGGAATTTCCCAACTTGGAGTTGGCAACATTATACGGAATACAAAATCCGTAGCAGCAGAAGACACTGCTCACCTTATTGGTAGTGAAGGCATCCCAAACAATCACTTTACCATCCTGTAACAGACAAGCAGAAACAGTGAATTTCTGAAACACAGTAGACAATTTATGGAACGCAGAGAGACAAAATACCTGTGTCACAATAGGTGATTTTAACTACCCATACACTGACTGCATCAATATGTGTTAAAGTCAGGAGAAATAGATTGGGTTTCTCGATACTCTCAGTGACTATGCCATGGAGCAGATGGTCACAGAACCTACCGGGGGGAGGCGAACCTGGACTTGGTCCTATGTAATGCTCAAGACCTGGTGAGAGATGTAAACATGATAGCACCAACTGGATTGGGAACAGTGACCATAATGCTATTAAGTTTAGCATTTATGTAAACAGGGAGTTGCCCCAAAAGACCAACACAACCACATTTAACTTTTGAAGGAGTAACTTCTCTCAAATGAGAGGGTTTGTGAAGAAGAAACTAAAAGGAAAGGTAAGGAGGGTCAAAACCCTTTGGGAAGCTCAGAGACTATTTAAAACTGCAATACTGGAAGCTCAGATACAATGTATACTGTAGGTTAGGAAAAGTACAAATAGGTATTAAAAAAGGCCTGCATGGTTAATGAACAAAGTAATGGAAGCAGTAAAAGGTAAGAAAGATTCCTTAAAGTGATGGAAGGCTAGTCTGAGTGAGGTAAATGAAAGCGAGCACAGGCTTTGGCAAATAAAATGCAACTTGGTGATCAGACAGGCAAAAAGGGACTATGAGGAGCATATTACAAAAAACATAAAGACCAATAATAAGAATTTCTCCAAATACATTAAAAGCAGAAAACCAGCCAGGGATGCAGTGAAGCCCTTAGATGACCAAGGGGTGAAAGGATTACTAAAGGATGATAAGGAAATGGCAGAGAAGATGAATGCGATTTTTGCTCGGTCTTCACTGTGGGAGATGGGAGGTGCTTGCCCACTACAGAACCATGGATTTCAGGAGGGGTGTCGAAAAACCTGAGCTGGATTGAGGTGATGAGAGAGGAGGGCCTATGACTGATGGACAAATTAAAAACTAACAAAGTGCCAGGCCCAGATGGCATACATCCAAGAGTTCTGAAATAACTCTAATATGAACTCGTGGATCTCCTGACAAAAGTATGCAACCAATCACTAAAATCTGCCTCCATTCCCAAAGATGCGAAGATAGCTAAAGTAACCACTATCTTTAGAAAATATCCCAGAAGAGATTCAGGAAATTATAGACCGGTCAACCTAATGTTGATACCAGGTAAGTTGGTGGTAGTTATTAAAGATAGAATGAGTAGGCACATTGATGAACAAAAGCTTATTGAGGAAGAACCAGCATGGATTCTGTAAGGGAAGATCTTGTCTCACTAACCTTTTAGAGTTCTCCGAGGGGGTGAACAAACATGTGGACAAGGGTGACCCAGTAGATGTTGTTTACGTAGACCTCCAGAAAGCTTTTGATAAAGATCCTCATCAAAGATTCCTACGTAAACTCAACAGTCATAGGATAAGAGGACAAGTCCTCTTGTGGATTAAAAACTGGTTAATTAACAGGAGACGGAGAGTGAGTATAAATGGGCAGTTTTCACAGTGAAAGGTGGTAAGCAGTGGGATGTCGCAGGGCTCGGTAGAAATCCGGTGCTTTTTAACTTGTTCATTAATGGAGCTGGGAGTAAGCAGTGAAGTGGCTAAGTTTGCAGATGACACTAAGTTGTTCAGGGCGCTGAGAACCAGGGAGGACTGTGAGATGCTCCAGAGGGATCTGTCGAGGCTGGGTGTGGGGGCGCCAATGTTGCAATTGAGGTTCAACGTGGTCAAGTGCAAAGTAAGACACATTGGAGCCAAAAATCCTGTCTGTAAATCGATGTGGTCCAAACTGGCAATAACTGACCAGGAGCGAAATCTTGGAGTCATGGTAGATAACTAACTGAAGATGACAGCTCACTGTGCGACTGCAATAAAAAAGGCAAATGCTATGCTGGGGATTATTAGAAAGGGGATTGAAAACAAATCAGCCAGTATCATAATGCTCCTGTATAAATCTATGGTGCAGCTTCATTTGGAATAGTGTGTACAGTTCTGGTCACTGTACCTCAAAAAAAAAAATTATAGCATTGGGAAAGGTGGAGAAAAGGGCAATTAAAATGATTGAAGGATAGAGAATACCTTCTCTATGAAGAAACGTTAAAAGAGTTTAGGGGGTGACATGGCAGAGATTTACAAAATTATGCATGGGATAGAGGTAGAGACAGAAGTACTTTTCTCTCACACACACATTACAAGAACTCACGGGCACTCAATGAAATCAATGAGCACTAGGCTTAGAAGTGATAAAAGGAAGTACTTCTTCACTCAAAGAGTAATTAGTACAAGTACTTCTTCACCCAATGAGTAATTAATACATGGAATTCACTGCCACAGGAAGTGGTGGCGGCTACAAGCACAGACAGCTTCAAGAGAGGACTGGAGAAACATATGGAGCACAGGTTCATTAATAGCTATTAGCCACAAGGTATAGATGGAAAGGAGCTGCGGTGGCTCAAGTGGTTAAGACGCTGAACTGCAGGCTGTGGAAGGTCAGTGGTTCAGCAACCCAGGTGCCGCATGATGGAGTGAGCTCCCGTCTCTAGTTCCAGCTCCTGCCAACCTAGCAGTTTGAAAGCAAGAAACTGCAAGTAGGTAAATAGGTACCACTTCGGTGGGAAGGTAACAGCGTTCTGTGCGCCTTGGTGTTTACTCATGCCGGCCACATGACCACGGAAACGTCTTCGGACAGCGCTGGCTCTTCGGCTTTGAAACGGAGATGAGCACCGCAACCCTAGAGTCGGATTCGACTGGCTTTCGAGCAAGGGAACCTTTACCTTTAATAGATGGAACATTATGTCTCGGGCAGTGATGCTCTGTATTCTTGGTGTTGGCGGGGCAACAGTGGGAGGGCTTGTTGAGTTCTGGCCCTGCTGGTGGACCTCCTGATAGCACCTGGGTTTGGGCCACTGTGTGACACAGAGTGTTGGACTGGATGGGCCACTGAACTGATCCAACATTAGCTTCTCTTATATTCTTAATCTTTTAGAGCACGCTGAAGCCAGTTCATTCTGCTTGTGTTTCATTTCCCATCATGACCCTGGCTTTAACGGAAAGGAATATGAAGGAATGACACTACTTAGTTAGGCTAGGGACACTATATTATTTTCAATCTCTGACCCTGTCAAAGGCCAAACAAAGCCTCTGTGAAACTAGTCCCTTGCTAGGCCTTGCCACTGGAGTTAGACTAGGAATAGGTTTGGCCTGGAAATCCTTCCAAGACAGTTTGAGAGAATGCAGATACTGGGTCTCCCACCAATTCCTCCAATGTAGGGTGGCCATTCCCCTGATGCAGGCAGGGGTTTACCCGCTTTCAGGGTCCCCAATCCAGCCAGCGGGGGGGAATCCCGCCCCCAACTACCCCGTCCATGCCAACATGACTGGCGCAACGACGTCACTCAGAAGTTACATCATGTCACAGAGCACGTTGCGAGGGTGACACTCTATCGTTTGAGAAAAATCTGTATAAATCGATGGTGCAACCTCATTTGGAGAACTGTGTACAGTTCTGTTCACCACACCTCAAAAAGGATATTATAGCATTGGAAAAAGTGCAGAAAAGGGCAACATGAATGATAAAAGGGTTGGAACACTTTCCCTATGAAGAGAGGTTAAGACGCTTGGGGCATGATTGAGGTTTATAAGATTATGCATGGGATAGAGCAGGTTGAGAAAGAAGTACTTTTCTCCCTTTATCACAATACAAGAACTCGTGAGCACTCAATGAAATTGCTGAGCGGTCGGGTTAGAACAGATAAAAGGAAGTACTTCTTCAGCCAAAGAGTGATTAACACATGGAATTCACTGCCACAGGAGGTGGTGGCAGCTACAAGCATGGACAGCTTCAAGAGGGAATTAGATAAACATATGGAGCAGAGGTCTATCAGTGCTATTAGCCACAAGGTATAGATAGAATATCTCAGTCTGGGGCAAGTGCTTGGGGGGGCAACAGTGGGAGGGCGTCTAGTGTCCTGGCTCCACTGCTGGACCTCCTTGGTATTTTTGGCCACTGTGTGACACAGAGTGTTGGACTGGATGGGCCATTGGCCTGATCCAACACTGGCTTCTCTTATGTTCTTATGGTGACCATAGAGTTTTTCATCAAATGCTAGAGCGTCCCCTATGCAATGTGCCCTGCGTGATGATGTCACTTCCTGGTGATGTCACTGTGGTGTCACCTGGAGACAAAAACTCCTGGGGACAAAGAGGGATTCCCCTGCCGGCAGCCAGGTAAGACCTGGCAACTGTACTCCAATGGCCCCTTTGCCCATCACTTGCTTAAGCCAGCTGTGGGTTTACTACCGAGCCAAAACTAGGGAACATCTTTCATGAAAAAAATTGTCTCCGAAAAAACTTTCGATCTCTTCATGAAGTGATTTTATTTCCCAGGGGGTGTTTGAACAGGGGAGAAGCCATCGTTATGAGCTGGCTTTCTGACATCATCAAGGAGCTAAATCCAATTGGCTGCAAGGCATCATGACATCGCCACATTCACAGTGCAATTCCCAAGTTGCTTGGATCATAGTATCAAGATCAAGAAGAGGCCATTTTTTTAAAATGGCACTGGAACAGTAGTCAAGAAGCGCTGTGGAGGAGGAGTGGCTGCAACCAACTTCCGGTAGCAGCCAGTACTCAGACCTCTTTGCCTGCCTGCTCTAATTTGGATATTTTTACCCTCCTCAAAGCAAATAAACACACTCTGAACAATGGCACCGAAAGGAAGCAAGAAGGGAAAACAGAAATAAGAAAGTGGAACGCTGGGAAAAGGTGAATTAACGACTGAAGATAGCCCACTTACTGCAAACCTCCTGACGCAGGCACTAATTAAACAATGCCAAGAACTGAGAAAAGATATCACAGAAATGCTAAAACCAGCATTTCAACGCATGGAGGAGCTGGAAGACCTCCAAAAGCAGACTAATCAAAAAGCTGAAAGGGCTCTCCAGAAAGTTCTGGAGCTTGAAAGGCAATTACCTGTGAGAACTTTAGACACTGGGGCTAGGGAGCGCATCTTGTCTCTGGATCATCGCAGTCGTGAGCTTTCTTTGAAGTTCAGGGGGTTCAAAGCAAATGCTGAAGCTGGAACAGAGCTAATTGTATTTATGGCAAATTGGCTGGCGGGTACTTTAGGGTTGGGAACTGGTGTCTCGCCACTGCTACAGAGAGCTTATCCTGTTGGGAAGGCATGCGAGGAATCTCCCTCCTCACTATATGCCAGAGATATATTAGTAGAATTTAAAGACTTTCGAACCCGACAGAAAATCCTCTCAGAACCAGGGCAAGGAGCGGCCTTGACTTTCAAGACATGGATTCAAGTGTTTCCAGATCTCCCTCCTGAGCTCTTAAGGATAAGAAGAGATCTTAAGAGCACCACAACTAAACTGCGGGATTTAGGAATCAAGTACAGATGGCTCCGTACGGGCAAGTTATGTGTTCAACAGGGTTCAATCTATTATTTTGCTCATGACTCTGTCTGAGGTGAAATAATGTTGGCTGCTTTAAATCTTTCCCCTTCTGACTCCCAAGACAACAGAGCTGGCCAGAGGAAAGGGTGGACACCGGAGACGGGACCCCGACCCGCAGACCGCCTGGAGGAAGAATGCCGGGAGCTGGAGAACAACAGCCCTGTCACCTGGATGCCGGTAGGCAGCCCCACCCCTGTATAATATGTGGCCTTAGTTAGGAAAATGGATTGATACTATCTGTAAACCGCTCAGAGACCCTTCGGGGTCAGAGCGGTAAATAAATCGAATATAATAAATAAATAAATAAGACCAACTGTTATTATATTGTTAATTATTATAATGAGCTAAGATTGTTTGAAAACTTTATAAATATTATTTAGTAATAAATTTGGGGGAAGAAAGGAGAGGGAAGATGAAGAAGAAGATATGAAGATAAAGCATGCATGTGAAGTTTTGTTTTTCATACTATTAACTGAGTTTGGCGGTGTAGTACAATTATAAAACCCTTTCTTCAATAAAATTGCTTTAAAACCTTTTTTAAAAAAAAGAAGCAGCGCTGTGAACGGGGGTTAAAAACAAAAATCAGGGAAGGTTCGGGGAAACACACTGAAGCCACCCCCACCCACCCTCAAGTTTTCCTTTTGCACCAAAAACACTGCAGATGTTTGACTCATCCTGCATAGGGTTCCAGCCTCTTTTCCGGTATTACTCATGGGTCTTTTATAGCAGCCTGCAATGCAAACATTAAACAGGACTGGAGCTAAAGTGATGGTAAACAAACTTTACCTGCTTAATTTCTGCATGGTATGCGTCTGTTAAGACCACAAGATCAGAGCAAACAAACAAACAATAAAAACTAAATAAGGCATCCCCAAACAGCTGGCATTCCTAGAGATGTAAAACTGATGGCTTGCTACAGACAAGTGGGGAGAAATGGGAATAGCAGGGAAACAGGACAGGAGACCACTAATTCAAAACTTTTAAAGCTACAGGCAGAATTGCTGGGTTCCAATCTGGCAAACCCTAACTAGAAAGTCAACTGGGGGAAACGGATCCACGCAACTATATCACAACAGAGCAGAGCTGCTGGCTGAGGAGTGCTAGCTGTCTAGTTTACGCACAACAGAGTTTACATGGGGCCCCCAGCAGTGTTCCCTCTAAGCTGAGTTAATGTGAGCTAGCTCACAGTTTAGCCTCTGGCTCACACATTTTTGTCTTAGCTCAGGAAGGATGGCTCCGGAGCAGTGCTCCCTCTAAGCTGAGTTAGTGTGAGCTGGCTCACAGTTTTTTAGCCTCCGGCTCTCATGTTTTTGTGTTAGCTCAGGAAGGATGGCTCCAGAGCAAACTAATTTATGCAGCAGTCAAACTGCTTGCTCACAACATTAATGCCAGCAGCTTACAAAGTAGAATTTTTGCTCACAACACTCCACAGCTTAGAGGAAGTGTTGGTCCCCGGTCTTACAGATAGATACAAGTCCAGTAGCATCTTAGAGACTAACCAAAGTTTCAGAGTATAAGCTTTCAAGAGTCAATGCTCCCTTTGTCAGATACGAGTAGAAATGTGTCTTACAGTCTTATACAGGGGCTCTGCTAGGTGTGCAGAGGATTTAGGTAGGTACAATTGGGTTCGTGTTTGCTTCACTGTAACACAATCCTTACACTTCAAAGCTCCTGGTGGACAACTTCTGCGTGTCACCTGCTGCTGAGTCAACACATCTTGTGAATATTCACCCAGTTTCCTGATACCAACCATGCAAGACCCTCCCATGGGGGATGGTTAATGTGGTTCACAGCTTAGTTTGACAGTACTGCAAAACACTAAGATTTGTTAACATCTTTCTTCTTCCAATCACAGGGCAGCATTATAAGCAACGTTTAACGTAAGCCGTGCTCTTCCTGTCCCCTTCCCCATAACATGTAGGCACATGTGCAGTAGAACATGCACACACACTCAAAGCTATAGCTGTGTCATTCTGTTGGCTCTTGGCACGTTTCCCTGATGGGGAGAGAAGTAGGACTTCCTTCTCTCCAGGCTCTGCCTGGAGGTTGGCAACCCCAGAATTGGGTGCGCGGGGGGCGCCAGAAGGTAGCCCCGCCTAGGGTGCAAAAAACCTCAGGCCGGCCCTGCCTCCCATGGGGGATGATTAATGTGGTTCACAGCTTAGTTTGACAGTACTGCAAAACATTAAGATTTGTTAACATCTTTCTTCTTCCAATCACAGGGCAGCATTATAAGCAACGTTTAACGTAAGCCGTGCTCTTCCTGTCCCCTTCCCCATAACATGTAGGCACATGTGCAGTAGAACATGCACACACACTCAAAGCTATAGCTGTGTCATTCTGTTGGCTCTTGGCACGTTTCCCTGATCCTGATCCACACCATTACCTGACACTGGCAATTATGGGGAAAGCACAATAAGCTTACACGGTTAAGTATGTTTAAACATTACAAGGAGTAGGGGGGGAGAACCTGACGCAGGGCTGCCATTTTCAGCAGCAGTCCTGTGTTGAGTCAAGTTCTGCCCTGATCGTCCTGTTCCATCTATTGAAATTGAAAGGATTCAGCACTGCATGAGGGTAACACCGCCATTCCCAAATAAACACAGAAGATGCATTTATTATCTGGTCCTGAATATGTTTAGTCAGAAGCAAGTTTCCTCTAGTTCAGTGGGATTTATATTTTCCTTAGAATTGCGTCTCTAGTTTCAAACAACCTTGTCACACTGTGGCATACCACAGTAGTTAGCGAACTCAAACAGATGGGAAAATTAGAGATCCAGGAAATATTCTCTACAAAAGGTACACCCGATACATAACTGGATTATAGCTCTTCCTTCAGAGTCACGGCTTCTAAATTAAGCAACCATCTCGCAAAACCTTTTATGCCAGCAGAGATATTCTTGCTGAACAATACACCTCAGCATAAGGGCAAACCCTCCAAACAACTACTGCTGAGTAAACACCATCAAATGGCTTCTCTCTGTACCTGGGAAGAGCTGACGATTCTTCTTTTATCTTTGCACCAATCCATGCAGAGGACTTTATTGCCGTGGCCTTTCAGCGTTCTCCGAGTCTTCATCACAAACTGTCCCAGCGCCTCCACACGCTCCGCCACCTGATGAACTGTAAGGAATTTGTCAGAGAGAGTCACCAAGAGAGGGTGCAGAGGGCGCCGTTTTTGCAGATATGCGCAAGACTGGATGTGTGACTTCCATAACAAAGAATATTATTACAGGCTGCAAGTGGGAGATCTGTCTTGTGTTTTTTAATTCCCTAGTGCAATGTCTTCTCCCACCCACTCTCCACAATCCCATTATAACAAACTGGACTGCTCAGTGAACACAAGGAGGTGGGTGACAAGACCGGGACGGGGGTGGGGGAAATGGATAGGAGAAGTTATGGCTGCCTTGCTTCCCACTGTGACAGGGAATTATACTAGACGACTTCTCTTTGATAATGGCCCTTCACTAGCACGGCTTGTCCTTCCTGACAATGCTCCTGACCCTTTGAACAGTAATTGCACGGATGAAAAATCTCCAGTGCTGTATTTCTATGCTGGGAAAAGTACTACATGCAAAATGTCTGTCTGCAGGGACCCACAAAAACAAGGTGGGGAAAAGAGACAGCAAGTATATTCACAGGTGATGGTACCTGCAGTAGAGCAGGTAAGGAAAGGTACCAGTAGACAAAATGCTGGGAATCTTATGCCGTTCAGTGTCTATAAATAACACTCATAGGGCGGGGGAGAGGATTGGATCAGGGCTATTTTTCCTACAGTAATTGCACTGCCCAGTAGATATTTGCCCAAATAGGTGAAACGTAAGTGTACACAAGTTTCCTCACCTCTTGCTAAATTTACATCTTGCCTGAAGTGACACAACATCACAGTACTTGGTAGGGTTACCAGTTCTGGGCTGGGAAACTCCAGATTTGGGTGCGGAGGGCAGTGTTTTGGGGAGCAAAAGAAACATAGCAGGGCTGTGACACCACAGAGTCTACCCTCTGAAACTGCAATTTTCTCTAAGGGATCTAACCCGTGGAGTCTGGAGATGAGTTGTGATTCTGGGAGAGGTCCTGAATATGTTTAGTCAGAAGCAAGCTTCCTCTAGTTCAGTGGGATTTATATTTTTCTTAGGATTGCGTCTCTAGTTTCAAACAACCTTGCCACACTGTGGCATACCACAGTAGTTAGCAAACTGAAACAGATGGGAAAATTAGAGATCCAGGAAATATTCTCTACAAAAGCTACACCGATACATAACTGGATTATAGCTCTTCCTTCAGAGTCACGGCTTCTAAATTAAGCAACCATCTCGCAAAACCTTTTATGCCAGCAGAGATATTCTTGCTGAACAATACACCTCAGCATAAGGGCAAACCCTCCAAACAACTACTGCTGAGTAAACACCATCAAATGGCTTCTCTCTGTACCTGGGAAGAGCTGACGATTCTTCTTTTATCTTTGCACCAATCCATGCAGAGGACTTTATTGCCATGGCCTTTCAGCGTTCTCCGAGTCTTCATCACAAACTGTCCCAGCGCCTCCACACGCTCCGCCACCTGATGAACTGTAAGGAATTTGTCAGAGAGAGTCACCAAGAGAGGGTGCAGAGGGCGCCGTTTTTGCAGATATGCGCAAGACTGGATGTGTGACTTCCATAACAAAGATTATTATTACAGGCTGCAAGTGGGAGATCTGTCTTGTGTTTTTTAATTCCCTAGTGCAATGTCTTCTCCCACCCACTCTCCACAATCCCATTATAACAAACTGGACTGCTCAGTGAACACAAGGAGGTGGGTGACAAGACCGGGACGGGGGTGGGGGAAATGGACAGGAGAAGTTATGGCTGCCTTGCTTCCCACTGTGACAGGGAATTATACTAGACGACTTCTCTTTGATAATGGCCCTTCACTAGCAGGGCTTGTCCTTCCTGACGATGCTCCTGACCCTTTGAACAGTAATTGCACGGATGAAAAATCTCCAGTGCTGTATTTCTATGCTGGGAAAAGCACTACATGCAAAATGCCTGTCTGCAGGGACCCACAAAAACAAGGTGGGGAAAAGAGACAGCAAGTATATTCACAGGTGATGGTACCTGCAGTAGAGCAGGTAAGGAAAGGTACCAGTAGACAAAATGCTGGGAATCTTATGCCTTTCAGTGTCTATAAATGACGCTCATGGGGCGGGGGAGAGGATTGGATCAGGGCTATTTTTCCTACAGTAATTGCACTGCCCAGTAGATATTTGCCCAAATAGGTGAAACGTAAGTGTACACAAGTTTCCTCACCTCTTGCTAAATTTACATCTTGCCTGAAGTGACACAACATCACAGTACTTGGTAGGGTTACCAGTTCTGGGCTGGGAAACTCCAGATTTGGGTGCGGAGGGCAGTGTTTTGGGGAGCAAAAGAAACATAGCAGGGCTGTGACACCACAGAGTCTACCCTCTGAAACTGCAATTTTCTCTAAGGGATCTAACCCGTGGAGTCTGGAGATGAGTTGTGATTCTGGGAGAATTCCAGCCCCCACCTGGAGGTTGGCAACCCTAGTACTTGGCCACGGGTCAGATTTATTTAAATTTATTTATTTAAGACGTTTATTTGTGCCTTTCTACCTTACCTTACAGGTGGCTTATGAGGTAAATAACAATAAAATACCTAAAATATATATGTACCACAGATCACTATGAGGGAGTGGTACCTCCTCCCGGGCATATCTGCCACTGCTTAAATCCTCCAGAGAATCATGTTTGTGGCCAGGGGTCATTTCGTAGAAAAAGAGGTGCAGGAGCTCATTGGCATAACTCGTTAGCATAACTTATTTGCATATGCCACACCCCCTGACATCACCGGAAGTGTGTCAGAAGGCAACACCCACCACTCAGGCTCCACTGGACTGTTTTGGATTGCTAGCTATTGGGGGGGGATGATGTGCAGATCTGTCCTCGCAGAGGAGGGAGAGCTTGTACCTGAATAAAACTTGGTCTTAAAGGTGCCACTGGACTGTTTTGAGCCAGGGGGCCGGGGAGGGGGGTCTCTGCAGCTTATCTGGCTGCTTCTTGTTCTGACTGAGGGCTGCTGGGAGCAGGAGGTGGGGCTTGTTGCATGTGCCCACCCCCTGGGCTCTTTACTGCCGGAGCTCCGCTCCTGTGCGCTCCTGCAGGAAATGACCCCTGTTTGTGGCTACACAAACATGGGGAAAAGGTTGTTACAAACTGAGGCATATATGTTATGTAGGGAGCTAGGAGCCATTTGGATGCCTGGCCTTCAAAATGTATCGCATTTTTCTCCTGCCTTTCCTCCAAAGAGTTCAGGGCATCATACGTGGCTCCATTTTCCTCTCGCACAACAACCCCGTGAGGCAGCTGAGGCTGAGAAGGAATGGCTGGCCCAACGTTTGTGGCTCGTGAAGATATGAACCTGAGTCTCGGAGTCCGCCAGCCTGACAAACAGTGCCAAACTGTGGACTCCCTCTCAGGACTGCTCCCTCGAGGCAAAGAGCAGGAGAACAATTCTCTCTCTGCCTCTATTTATGCGGAGCAAGAAAAAAATTACCTCAAGAAGCACTTTTAAACTAAGGTTGCCAGGGATGGGGTATAGGGTTGCCAGATCCTGTTTGGGAAACTGTTTGGGGATGGAGCCTGGGGAGGGCAGGGACCTCACTGGGGTACAGTGCCACGGAGTCTACCCTCCAAAGCAGCCATTTTCTCCCAGGGAAATGATCTTTGTAATATGGAGATGAGTTGTAATTCCAGGGGATACGCAGGTCCCACCTGGAGGCTGGCACCCCTATTTTAAACACACTGTTTTTTTTACAACTGATGGCCCACCGCAATCCAGGGTCAGCTCTACAATGAGATGAGGTGAGGCAGTGACCTCAGGTGGTGGATTCAGGGGTGAGGGCAGCAACCTTCATACCTCTGGCCACCCGCCCCTCACCCCTCACCATGGCCTGACCTCACCAATTCCTACCCAGGACTGGGGCCACTTCCTTCATCCCTCCCCCAAGTATCTTTAAATATAACGCCACAAGAATTTACACGTGGCTAGTAAATGGTGGCTCAAGTGGTTAAGACGCTGAACTGCAAGCTGTGGAAGGTCAGTAGTTCAGCAGTTCGAGACCCCAGTGCCGCATGATGGAGTGAGCTCCCATCTCTAGTTCCAGCTCCTGCCAACCTAGCAGCTCGAAAGCAAGACATTGCAAGTAGATAAATAGGGACCACTTCGGTGGGAAGGTAACAGCGTTCTGTGCGCCTTGGTGTTTAGTCATGCCGGCCACATGACCACGGAAACGTCTTCGGACAGCGCTGGCTCTTCGGCTTTGAAGCGGAGATGAGCACCGCAACCCTAGAGTCGGAGTCGACTGGCTTTCGAGCAAGGGAACCTTTAGCTTTACCTTTTTTAGTAAATTCTCTGGGGAATGAGGAGGGAGTGTTGGCTGCTGAAGGAAGACACAGCAAGGATGAGAGACAGTCAGCGGGACGGCTGTGACGGACCTCAGGCAGCACTCTTTTTTGAGCTGTGACTACCTACATGTGGTGCTGGGGGTGAGATCACAGAGATCCCCAGAGGTGTCATGTAACTGCAAAAAGTAGATGCAGTTATGATGGCCGCTGAGGCAAATAGAAAGAGAGATGTTAAGAACCCTGGAAATGGTCCCCTCTCCAGGTTGCTTTATGTCCTGAGAGGAAAACAAAAGACAAACATAATGCAGAGCTGTATTTTCTCCCTCTCTCAGGGCTTAAAACAACCAAGGAGAAGATATTTCCTGTCAGGGAAAAGGCACAGAGGAAGAGTTAAGCTTCCTTTCCTCAGGGTGTGGATCTAGATCACATTTCCCCCTACAGCAGCTTTCTGTAGCTAAATTCGGGTTGAGTTGGGGGGGGATTAGTCATTTTGACCACTTCTGATGACCTCGTGGCATGCCATGAACTGAGGAGAACATACAACTGACATGTGACTGTGAAGGTGTTCACAGGTTGAATGAATTCAGTGATCCCCACCAGTGTTCCCTCTAAGCTGTGTTAGTGCACTAGCTCAGTTTTTTAGCCTCCAGTTCACAGGTTTTTACCTTAACTCAGGAAGGGAGGGCTCCAGAGCAAACTAATTTATGCAGGAGCCAAACTGCTTGCTCAGAACTTTAATGCCAATAGCTCATAAACACTGTTTCCTCTAAGCTGAGTTAGTGTGAGCTAGCTCACAGTTTTTTAGCTTCCGGCTCACACATTTTTGTCTTAGCTCAGGAAGGAGGGCTCCAGAGCAAACTAATTTATGCAGTAGCCAAATCGCTCACTCACAACTTTAATGCCAGGAGCTCACAAAGTAGAATTTTTGCTCACAAGACCCCACAGCTTAGAGGGAACATTGCAGTAGAATTTTGGCTCACAAGACACCACAGCTTACAGGCAGCATTGGTCCCCATTCCTTGCCCTGTGAACCCCCTCTTGTTGGAAATGACCTTACTTACTTGGAGACTTGATTACAAATCCCTCGTTAATACTCATTTATTTGCTTCAAGCCTTCACGTATGCCCCACCTTTCTCGCCAATGGGAACCCAGAGCGGCTCACATTGTTCTCCTCTCCTCCAGTTTACCTTCACAACAATCCTGTGAAGTAGGTTTAGGCTGAGAGTATGTGACTGATTGCATATGTAGCTTGGCTCTTCCTCACAAATCCAGCCGAAAGCTGGCTTCTGAATCTCGCTAGGAATCCCTTTCCCTCCTCCAAAACCTCTTCTCTCCCTCCGGATGAAACTTGAAAAGGTACCCCCTCATTGTACACAAGTGGTACTCCTTAAAATTCAAGCGTCAGTCTGTTTCTCAGCATTCATCGTTGAAACCTCTGCTCTTGTTTCGGTGGCTACGAAAGGGGCTGGGGTGCCAGTTGGTCAGGCAACAACTTATCACTAAGCAGATGGTTCATTTAGCTGCGGGTCCAGCAGACTATTTCTGCCTCTGTGAGTCTCACATCGATTTATAAGGTTAACCTCTCAATCACCATCTTTTTCTTTGTTTAAAGGAAAGCACTTGCTTGCAACTCACTGATGCAGCTGAGAAGATCGTCCCACTTTGAGGGAGCAACCTCACACAGAAAAGTTAAAAACAAAACAAAAAACACTACGGGTCAGAGGAGATAAAATACCAAGAGAATCACGATCAGATCTTTCCCCTGTTTTTAAGAAGCACATTAAAGGTGCATGGGGGTACTGATTTGCTGCGCTGGGTCCATGCGGAAAGGGGGTTCAATTCCTTCCCTTCATCTATTGAAACTGCATCTACCCCGCTGCATTTTTGGGCATTTTGAAAGAAGGAAAAATATGGGCAAATGATAAAGCATTATGTACACAGGTTGGTTCTGGGGTCCCCAATCTGTGTCCAATTTGGATCAGGTACCATCGAGGGCATTGTTTAGGCCATAGTTCTTGGTTTGAGGAAAGGATGTTACAACAGAGAGAAGCAGTGTAGTGCAGTGATTATACTGGGAGGAACCCCAGGTCTGTGACTGCAGAGGGGATCTGGGTTCAAAATCTTGCTCAGCAAGTCAAATTGATCAACCAGGAGAGAGGGCG